TTCCTTCCCCCGCCCCCTATTTATATCACCCCCGTTTTCTCAAAACGTCGTCGTTTTCCTCCTTGCAGAATGACGTCGTTTTTTTCATTTTCCAAATGACGTCATTTCCCTCCCCTCTCTCCCTTTTTTTTTTCCAGTCATTACAATAATCATATATTTTTTATACTCACATTATAATTTTCTCTTATTATTTCAGTAAGATTTTATCTTTAGAATTTATATTTCTTAACTTAATGATTTAACTAAACAATAATAGTAAGAGAATGTATCATGATTTATATATGTCTATTTTAACCTATATTAAAATAATAGTCACATTAATTTTCCAATCACCCTTACCACGGTCTATATTTTCTTTTAAGAGGGTGTCATGAGACTTTTAAAGATGCATGATACAAAATGTATATAATTTTATCGGATTACTTATGAAAATATTTATATAAAAATAACAAAATGTTAATATAAATAATATTTTTATAATAAATAAAATAAAATAAAATATATTTTAATAATTATGCTTGCATTAAATAACACTTTTGTAATATTTTTTAATGACAATATTGTATTTTAATTATAAAGTATTTTACATTTATTTCTTATATTATTCCCGCTCACATTTGTTAAAATTTTCACCGCTTTAAACGTAGTTTTAAAATTTAAAAAGTCTTCAAAATGTTTAAGATATTAAAAAAATAAGAAATTAAAAAAAAAAAGTAATTAGTGTATGTACTTTCAATCAGCTTTGGGTCATTTTTAGAGTGATGATAGTGTTGTAATTAACATGTATATGTTATTATAAATGTCTATGAATTATGTTGTCTAAGAAAATAAAATAAAATAAATTGTTTATTAATTTAAAAAACAAAATTTTCAACCATAAAATAGATAAAAAAACCATATCGATGATAAAAACTTTAGAAGTAAATTCCAATTAATTAATAGTTTCCTTCCAAAATTTGGAAAATTAAAAGGAATAATCTTAGCAAAATTCCAAATTAATGGATGGTGGATGCAGAAATTAGATAAATCGGAAGCCTGTGATCCGATCAAACTTCCATTTTGGAGGTCATTAAAGGTCGGCGGATGTAATAACTGTTCTTAATCTTCATCACAAAATGCTTCTTGAGCTAATAAATGTAGGGTGTATCCAAGGAACCAACCAATAAGAATTCATCACGTCATCAAGAAGAGTGCAATGACGAAACTACCCTTTCAATCGTCAACCTCATTGGTGGATTTGTCCCAGACCTGTTGCTCCGAACCGTGGAGAAAATAGTACCCGTCAACATATGAACATTGAGGGCGTGAGCAACCAGAAAGGATGGCTCTGTTACCCGTCTTTAACAGCTACCCAGAGCGTCCATCACCGTAGGGGATAGAGGAATTCTGTGCTACGAGATGGAGGATTTGACACGTGTAGGGATGTGGTGGATGGATAGGGGAAAGTAGCAATGAGTGAGTTGTAGTGGGTTTGTTGTCGAACGGACACTTGTCCCACGTGTACTCACGTGAACGTGAGTTCATGGCGCACCCCCAGGACACAATATCATTGTCCTAAGTAAAACCTTGTTTCATTGACTCTCTCTCTCTCTCTCTCGCCATAGTGGTGTGGAGCCCAAAACTGGACCTGTTCTTTGCTGGCTTCTAGCTCTCCATTGTTGGTCTTTTATGGGTCTTGTCTGCTAAGAATTTACAGAAAGGCAAAACCAGAGAGAGAGAGAGAGGGAGAGAGGGAAAGAAAGAGAGAGGGAAGAAAGAAGAAGTTTAGTTGGGTTTGGGCCAATCCTTTCACATAAGAGATTTTATTTTATTTTTATCATTTGGGAAACAATTTTTTTTTAAAAAAATTATTTTTCTTTCTTTTTTGGGTTTTTCTTTTTGAGGGTCTTCTTCTTCTTCTTTTTCTTCTTCTTCTTCTAAATTATCTCATCATCATTTTCACTTCACTATACAGGAGGAAGTCCAGAACAATCAAAACCCAGCATGTGTTTTTGTTAATTCACATGGTTGATCTGATTGATCCACAGATCTAACAATTTTTCATGCCCGTATCATCTCTTGTCTCTTTATCTCCCCAGATCCTCTCCTTCTTCAGCTGTATCTCAAACTAGCCAATTTCGGAGGTAAAACTTTTATTACCTGCTTTCTTTTTCTTTGGGTGTACAGCAGGAGTTGAATAGTTGTGAATACTGGTCATCTGTGGGCTTAATTTTTTCAATGTGAAACAGTGAATCTTCTGGATTTCTCAATGGCTGACCAAGTACCTTGTGTGTGACAAAAAAGTTAAAATTTGACTGTTTTTCTTTTTCAAAGCGCCCTTTTAGCTGGGTTTGGTGTTGATTTTTTATTTTCTCTTCTCTTACCATTGTTAGCCGCTGTCCTATATTCATGGCTTTTCTATTTTCATTAGTAAAAAACAATTGGTTCCGGGTTATGAGGCCTTAATTCTCCCTATATTTATGCAATTCCTACAAGAAAACCAATCAAAAGGTGGCTTCTTTACATCATTTACCTTGATCTGTCTGCTGCTCTAGTTTTATCACTATTATTTCTTTTTGTAGAACTTGTTCTTGCTGCTGCTATTGTTTACAGGAGTAGAGGATGTATAAATTTCACAATTGGGGTTTCTAGTTCGAGTTGTTTTGAGTTCTTATTTCAGGTTACTAGTTGCTATTGGCGTCCTGTTGTTAATTCTTTTGCAGTGTGTTCTTGCAGTGTTAAAAAGGGATTCAATTTGCTATTGGGGCTTATTCGGTAAAAGTCGTTTCTAATGCTTCTTAGATGTGGAGTATTTGGAGGGTTATTTGGATGAGATGAGGGATGTTATCTGGGTTGATGAACTTTTTAAGGGCCTGTTTTCGGCCGAGGTCCGACCGATATGTACACACAAGTTCGGAATCCGGGGGTCGACAAGATGGGCTTTTGTGGTATAAAGACTCAGGACAACACTTGAATGGTGAATTCTCAATGGCTGTGGTTCAAGCCAACAATTTACTTGAGGATCAGAGTCAGCTTGAGTCTGGTTCTTTGAGCACACATGAGTCTGGTCCTTATGGTACTTTTGTTGGTGTCTATGATGGGCATGGAGGGCCTGAGACATCGCGGTATATCAATGATCACCTCTTTCAACATCTTAAGCGTAAGTAATTTCAGCACTATTAGTTTTTTCAGTGTCCACTTCGTTTTTAGGATCGAGTTTGTTTACGTTGTTGCCTCAGGAACTGAATAATTTGAGTGATTCTTGTATTGTGAGGAACATGCTCATTGTTTCATGTTCCGAGGATGAAAATCACTTCTTTAAGCCAAATCAGTGCTCTGGTAAAAGAAAAGTGCAATTTTTTATAACTCAGTTGGTACTTCAAGTAATTTCTAAATACAAGCTAAGCTGGAAAAAATTTAAATAAGAGGACCATTGTCAAGTTCCTTTTCACTACTATGAACAGCTTAGAGGACTGTGAACCTAATGATCCGACTTTTCTTTTTTCATTGATGTATATAGTAGGTTGTTTTTGTGTTGTATACCAACTTTCTTTTCTGAGGTTCAATGATTGGGGTTGTCTTTTTTAGGGTTTGCTTCAGAGCAACAATCGATGTCAGTTGATGTTATTCGGAAGGCATATCAAGCAACAGAAGAGGGTTTTATGTGTCTTGTTACCAAACAGTGGCCTATGAAACCACAAATTGCTGCAGTTGGATCCTGCTGCTTGGTTGGTGTCATCTCTAATGGAACCCTCTATGTTGCTAACCTTGGTGATTCGCGTGCTGTTTTGGGCAGAGCTGTTAAAGCGACAGGGGAAGTTATTGCCATTCAGTTGTCAGCAGAGCACAATGTATGTATAGAATCTGTCAGGCAGGAGCTGCAGTCTTTGCACCCTGATGACTCGCAGATTGTAGTTCTAAAGCATAATGTATGGCGTGTGAAGGGCCTTATCCAGGTAAATCCCTGCTTCTGCTGAATGGTTTTTGTGGTTATTATTTACATTTTAGGTAAGCTTTCTTTTACGGTAATCTAATCCTGTGCCATCCTTATATTCTAGAGTTTCTGATACTAATCCTTTACTGCTGCTCTTTTGGATTTGAAGGCATTAAAACCATAAGAAGTCTTCTTTTAGTATCTTGCTTCATCTCTTGTCATGAGGGATTGACTTCTTGGAAGTTGAGGTGGAAATAAGTTTCATTTTGGGTTATATGAAAAGGGTCAGTGCTGAGGAAGCATTGGTTGACTTTTTAACTTATGTTGGGTTTGGTTAAAGCAAGATGGAACTATATGTTTCTGATGGTAATAATAAGAAATCCTTTATTGTTCAGTCTGGAGGTAGCCACTGCAGAACATAAACTTCAGCAAGGGCATGTTTGAATCTCTGATTTTTTGGAAGCCAAAGGTAGGCCTGAGAGTGCATGTTTCTTTGTGCGAGAGTGAATTGATCCAGATGAATGACCAAGAGAAGGTTGAGAAGATAATTAAGGTTACATGTTTTGGCTTTGTGGTTGTTAGAAAAGACACTATTGTTTACAAAGGTTTACATTTTGCGTGCTCAAACAAATTTGGAGAGAAGGTTGATTTGTCAGCAGTAGTGGGATACAATCTATTCCTAATCCTGTCAAACTCCTCTTCCACCTCTTCAAAAGTGCCTCTCCTGCAATAAAAATAAAAAAAAATGTTCAGCCAATTCTTATTAGAACAATAAGTTTAGGACTGGGGGTTCATATGAGTGGAGTCTTTTGTTTTTCTTGCCTGGCCTCATTTGATGCTAACCAGAGCTATTCTGGGTTGTATATCTTAAGATTTCTCCCAGCTTCGTGACTCACAATTGGGAGATATTTCTTTCTATGCCCTTATTTCCATGTCATAATGATCCAGAAAAATAAACATGATTCCGTGGTGTATTATTTCATCAATATTAGTTATGTATCAGCAACTTGAACCTAACCAGATCATTTTCTGCCTTGCTTTTGTGAAAGTTAGGTATTGGAAATATGAATTTCCAAGTCTAATTGCTAGCAGTTTGGATAATTGGGAAGGAGAGGTAATATAGCTGCTCTCTTTACATGTCTAAATTTGACTGCAGAAGTTATTTATTGGTGATAAAATGTGAAGGACTGCAAACTATTTGCTTGGGGTTTTGAAACAAAATGGAGAAATTTCTGGGATGAATTAAAGCATAAAAATCAGTTGAAGCAGCCATTCCGTGAGTGAAGATGAGGGGTGATTTATTGAAAAGGCTATATACTGAGAATCTCTAGGTTATTTCTGCTGCTAGGTCTTTTTTATGGTTAAATTATTTGGTCATCATAATCAACATGATACTTTATGAGTCAACTGGGAATGGATAGTCAGCTATTGATTGGTCTTAAGGTCGATATCAATGCAATTCCTGTGACTTGTTTCAGTATTTTTCATCGCTGAATATGAGGATTAATTTTAGCTCTAAACAGGATGAATAGGAGCAATTTGCTGTGATGCTAATTAGTTTGGGATTGATTAAGGCCAGAGAGTTAAGTAGTTGAACTTTGGAGCAATTTGGTTTAAATTTCTCATCCGGCATAGGGTATTCGTAGCCCGGTTGATGCACGAATTTAACTTTCCCTGCCTTAACAACTGCTTTCTTAATGGTTGTATCTACCTTTCATTTCGCGGACACGATATTGGAATTTGACTTTCTATCTTCACTGCCAGTTTCATGAAGTTGGTCTCTCGTGTGTGTATTGGCGTCAGGATCCAGGGAACTGGATTTATTGTTTTCTTTCGTATCATTTTCCTAGAGATTAAATATTAACAAGATGATTAATATGTTCAGATCTATATCTAAATGCTTATGATATAACAGTTTATTTGGTATATATTCTTCTTATTCTTGATGTATCCTCTCTTATGACTTTTTCCTGATGACTATAATTTTTTTGACCCATCAGGTTTCGAGGTCCATTGGTGATGTATATTTGAAAAAGGCTGAGTTCAATAGGGAGCCACTATATACCAAGTTTCGCCTCCGTGAACCTTTCAGAAAGCCAATATTAAGCTCAGAACCTTCAGTTACGGAGCACCAGCTGCAGCCACATGATCAGTTTATTATATTTGCATCCGATGGGCTGTGGGAGCACCTAAGCAATCAGGAAGCAGTTGATCTTGTTCAAAATAGTCCACGTAGTGTAAGACCGATATTTCTTATAGTTCAAGTTGTTCAACAAGTTTTATTCTCATCAGATTCTTTTTGTCCTCTGATCTAATTCTTATGCTTTTTTCCCCACCTATTTAAGAGTAATGAATTCAATGGTAATGATTTTTCAGCTGGTGGAAGAATCTAATATTAGTTTGTTTTTTGGCAGGGAAGCGCAAGAAGGCTAGTTAAAGCTGCTCTGCAAGAAGCAGCTAAGAAGAGAGAAATGAGGTACTCTGACTTGAAGAAGATTGATCGTGGTGTTCGCAGGCATTTCCACGATGACATCACAGTAATCGTAGTGTTCCTAGACTCAAACCTCGTGAGCAGGGCTAGCTCAGTGAAGTCTCCGAATGTGTCTGTGAGAGGGGGCGGAATAAACTTACCCCCAAACATATTGGCACCTTGCACTACTCCAACAGAAGCCGTTGGCTACTGATGGACAAGTTATCTCATGTTTGGCTGTTGTATCATTCTCTTTTGTGTGAATACCAGGTAGCTTCCAGAAAGAGATGAAGAAGAGAGAGGCAAAAGTTATAAAAAAAAAAAAAAAAAAAAAGGATTAAGTCTCCAATTCTTTAATGTACACTGTAACTTTCTTTTTTTTGTTTTTTTAAGAAAAAAAAAACTGGAGAACTAATACTTGCTGTTTAGCTTCTGTGCCAAAACCATATAAGAAGATCCAGGGGAGTACAATGAGACAATTACTATATAGTTATTTAATTGCTATAGTTTTTTTTTTTTTTTAATTTTTTTTAATTAATTTTTTAATTATTAATGTAGCCTTTCATTATTTTTCTCTTCTGGGTAATGCTTTTTCCACTATTTGGCACTGTAAATTTTACAACTTTGGCCAATTAAAACTTCCTGTTTTCTTCTTCATGTGCATTCTTAAGGGAGACCCTTTAAGGAATTGGGTACTGAAAATATGAATGACGAGGAATTCTATGTTTTGCGTTAAAGATGTGAGATACTGTAGAAGAAGTAAGAAAGAAAAAAAAAAAAAGTTTTATAAAAGAGTAATCTTTGTCAGGCATTCTCTTCATTTTTTAAAATGGGTTTCTTGGAACAGAGAAAGCAGCGCAGTCCTCAATGACTTCTTGACTTGTCAGTTCATGAAACAACTAAAAATCAACACACATAGAAAGCTCCAATCCCTAATTTTAACATTATATTCCCCAATAACAAAATAATAAAAACTTAAAACTGGCATTGGGAGTACTAACAATAAAAACCCCATGTATTTGAATTTATAGTTTCTGAAATAACTTACCCTAATCATAGAGTTAATAAAAAAAGAAATGGTGGGTTTTACACGGCGGATATTTGGTTTGAGAAAAGAGAAAGTATTGACTTTTGTTTTTAATGGCTGCTCAATGAAAGATTCAACATCCCTTCCCCTGTCATTCTCTACAACTGTTTCAACTTCAATTATTCATTATTTTATAATTTTTAATAAAACATAATTAATTTAATAATGGAGAATTTTCTAAAAAAATTGTTCTCTTATAATTGTATAATTATATTATTTAAATTATATAATAAATTAACATTGTGAAAAGCTAACTTGGAAATATTTCAATTGAATGATTGGGAAAAGAAAATAATATTTCTACTTCTTTTAACCCTTATTATAATCACTCTCAGTTGTAATATAATCAATCTATATTATTATGTATTAGGAAAAGAAAAGCCATTATATACTCTGCCGGATAATAGAATTTCATGAAAGTATTTTATGTTGACTTTTGGATTTTTATTTTATTATTTAAAAAAAAAAATCTAAATTTTATAAAAAAAATAAAAATCTTATTTTTAATACAAAAATACAAAAATATTACCTTTTGATATAATATACATATAATATATTTTTGTTTCTAATTTAATCTACAGTACTTAATTAACTATTTCTTACATATAATTATTCATTTTGTTAATATAAATTTACATATTTAATATATGATAAAATGTTGATGTAATACAATATGATATGATATTCAAATAAAAATATACGAGAATACAATTTAATTTAAATTTATAATTTTTTTAAAATAATAATTTATAAAAAAAAATAAAATGTTGGATTAATGTTAAGATTAGTAAAAATAAAGTTTTAGACACAAATTAGGAAGGAAAGATAGTTGTGTAATTTTATGGTTGAAACCTTTTTTAGGTTTATTTACATTAAATATAAATCAGTATTTTTTTAGAAAAATTAAAATAATATCTATAAATATTTTAACTATTTTTAATTACATAATTAATATTTCAATTAATCTTTATGAGTTTTAGTTAAATTTTACTACAACTGTGTACGTGTTATTCATTATTCAAACAATATATATATTATTATTATTATTTTTGAATCAAATGTAAAATTCCAAAGTTGAGGTGGAATTGTCAGGCAATGAGTGGTACAACCTGATCGAGTGAAGTTATCATTCAATTCCATACTTACATGACTACATATATATATGTATGTATGTATGTTACCTGCACCCAGATCGTTAGAAAATTTGTATAAAGATGTTTTGGAGAAATATCTGCAAGACATTGACTTTTATTCTCCTCAATCCTCAATTAACAACAAATGAAATGATTATATTACAAACTTATGAAGGTGTTTAAAGAGTAAAACAAGACTAATACGACAAAACACTGTCTCCCTCCTCTGATCTCTGCAGTGGTCTCGTCACTTTCTTTTTACTACACTCACCCAGTTTGACTTCTCCTTCCTTTTTCACTCAATTCTCTGCCAACATTTTTCTATTTATCTCCTTTCATTTCTCCTACAATTTTAATTTACTCTCTCTCTCTCTCTCTCTCTCTATATATACATATATATATATATATATATTTCAATTTAGCCTTAAGCATATGTATGGTTAGAATATAATTGATGATTGATTATTTGGTCACTTTCATTTTAAACTTTTTTGAAAGCTCAATTTCTAGACAATTCCAGTCACAGAGTTCGTGCAAGCCAATTATAGTTTTCAAGTTTATTGGCTAATAATTTTTTAATTAGAAGCCAACCATTACACTACAGCCAAAATTTATTAAGTAATTTTTTTATACGAATTGTACTTCATTAATGATTATTTTCTTTTTAAAAAAACATATAAAGAATGTTTATCTTGTTAATATATTATTTGAGTTAGTTTAAATCTGTTTATTGTAGAATTAATCGGGTGTACAATATAAATAAATAAAGATCATATGAGTGTTAAATTATTGAATTCATTTGATATTTTCTTTAAACATGAGATTTCTATATGACAAAATAAACTCAGAAGGAACAATTATATTTATCTTTATTTATAGACTAGAAATTATTACTAAACAAATCAACATAAAATAGAATATTTAATCTTCAACAAATAAAATATATTAATCTATGACTCCACAAATTTTGACAATATAATTGGTACATGTACAAAAATTATTTTAATATCTAGATTAGTTAAATAATTGATAAAAATAAAAATAAAAATAAAGAATTAATTACAAGATAAAATTAGTGAATACATTTAAAAAAATTGACAGGTGGGACGATCATTTTTACAATTACAAACCCAATGGTTAATAGATAACGTGTGCACAATTTTTTGTGAAGCTCCAATTTCACGATTATGAAAGGTAAAACAGTAATTTAATTGACCCACGATAATTAAAAAATAATAATTATTATTAAAATAAAATATTTAATTTAATACGGAAGTAAATTTAAAAATAATGAATATGTTTGGGAGTAGGGTGTAGAGAATAGATTACAGTGGTTGTATGGCGAGTACAAGTTGGTAGACACAATGGCAAACTCTTTTCTCTCTCTTTCTCGAGCCCCTACCTTCTTTCCCAACCCAACCTAGGGACTATGCTCTCTCTCTCTCTCTCTCTCTCCAGATTCTCTGCTAAATTTTTATCATTAATTACTACTAATTAAAACTTATAAAATCTATGTTTTTCTTTTTGTTTTTGGTTCTTGTTTCCGTCGAGCTAAATTTCTTGTGTATACAACAATACAACCATTACACATGCAGAGTCCTTCGTGGTCAAATGGGATGCTCCAAAACCTTTTCAAGAATAATCTTTGCAGAGAGAAATAAAAAAGGAAGCAACTTTTTTTGTAAAAGATGAGATGGGTTCCTCTAGATATCCTCCAAAAGCTTCGTTTTCCTTCCCTCATGCTCTTCAAATCTAACCTTATTCCTAGTTTTTGTCACAGCTTCTCCTCCTTTTTACCAGTTATCACAAAAGAATACGCAGATTCCTCCAAAAATCTACCTTTCTCTCACTTTTACCACGTCCCTGTTTTCTGAAAAAAAGACTCAACTTGGATACAGTCAAAGATAGAGAACAAAGGAAGATAGTTTACGGCTTTAGGAGGAAGGAAGAGATGGGATGTGCAGCTTCTAGGCTGGAGGAAGAACAAGTTGTGTCTATTTGTAAAGAGAGAAAGCGTCTAATAAAGCTAGCAGTAGAGAGAAGATATGAACTTGCAGAGGCACATTGTAGGTACTGTCAAGCTCTGTATGCAGTAGCAGCAGCCACTAAGCTCTTTGTTGCTAGACATTCCCCTCATTCTTCTCCATACCTCATCACTTTCCCTCCTCCTTGTCCTTCACCTCCACCAACTGATCAACAAAATGTCATAACCAACCCAATGTTTCTTCAACAAAAACCATCTGAATCGACCCATGAAGCTATTATTTGTGAGTCATGTCAGCCTTCAACAACATCCACGGATTCTACCGACGAAGAGACTAAAGAAGAGGAAGAAGAAGAGGAGGCGGAAGAGGAGGAAAAGCAGCAAGCAATGGTGAGAGAAGAACCAGAACAAGCTCGTGGGTACTTTTACATGCAAATGCCACCACCAATGCCGTCTCCACAGAGAGATTTCGGGTGGGATTTCTTCAATCCATTTGACGGTGTGAGACCAGAGAGTCTCAGTGGTTACCGGAGAAGCCTTGATGAAGATTTGAGGGTGGTGAGAGAGGAGGAAGGGATACCGGAGCTGGAAGAAGAAGGGGAGAGAGAAGAGGAAGAAGAAGAAGAAGAAGACGAAGAAGAAGAAGAAGAAGAAGAAGAAGAAAAAGAAGAAAAGAAGGAGGTGGTTGTTGAAGAAAATAGTAATAAGGAGCATCACGAGGAGAGTGGAGGTGAAATGGTGAAGGGGGTAGAGGGGTGTAATGTTAGCCATGTAGAGCAGAAGGGACTTACAATGATTGATTCTCCTGAAGGGGGAAGGGAACTGCTGGATGCATTGAAGGACATTGAGGATCATTTTGTTAGGGCTTATGATTCTGGCAAGGACGTATCAAGAATGCTAGAGGTCAATTTGGTCCATTTGCAGTCCGGTCTAGAGGAAATAAAAGGTGGGTATTTATCTTCTTATTATGTTATCTGCATTAGTCCTACATTCACTTCAATATAGCTTTTGTTAATTATCTTTACATTATCTTTAGCGATTCTTCGTAGTTCTAGTTTCCCTTTTCGTTTATGTACATTGTCTTGTTTATGAAGCTCGGTAACTTATTCTTTTTGTCTTTCAAAAAGAATGAGATAGGTCTGGGTGATTATCATGCAAGTATTTGTTCTACAGAAGTTGAAAAAATTGTATTATTGACTGTGCATCTCCTACAGCCCAAGATTTTTGGATGTGGTTGTACAGACAAACTGCTAAAGTGGCCTTTCATCTTTCTAACTTGAATTAGCCCCATGTATCTTGTTTGCCTTCGGCTTTTGGCTTGTCCTTTTGAGTTAATTCTACCGTTAGGAGCTTTTTTTCCTTCATACTTTTTGAGAAAAGTTATTTGCTGCTGCATTTTCTTTTAATATTCCTCTGAGAGAGCTTATGCTCTTCTCTATTGTTGAAGATGTTCTACAGTTTTTTTTTTTTGTGGGGGTGGGGGGCTTGTACGTGATCTGTTAGGTCTTTAACAATTAAGACCATTTATTTTTGCAATTCCAAGTTTGCTAGCTGTTTCATCTTTGTATCATTTTCTGTAATGTGCATTTTGAGTACTCACATGAGAGGGGTGATATACTTGAAATCATCTGTTGAATTTACTGGAAGATAATGAAAAGAGCTTAACATGCAATTCAATTGCCTAATACCTGATAGCCTGGGGTTGTCAGTATTTACTTTCCTGCAAGGCCTAACTCCCTGCGATTACTTAACAAAATTACTTAATAAAAAAGGTTTATTCATCATAATACTAATTTAAAAAAAATATTTACCAGTACATGCCACCATTAAAATGTATGCTTATTATTTTCATAATACATTCTTTTTTATCCAAAAAAAGTGTGTTATTTTTTCTGCATAATTTGGAGATGAATCCCACTCATTGTTTCTTCTTGATGCGTTATGCTATATATTGACCCCGTTAGATAAGTTATTTTTCTCTTAAAGCTGAAATTTCTGAGATCTTTATCTCCTGCTTTGGCATGTGGGTCTAAATTCACTTATTGCATTTGTTATGATTACACCATAGAGTTGGTCCATTTCTCTCCCTTTATTCTCTGCCATAGTTCTTTACTTTCTGATAATGCAAAACTCTAATTATGCTCAGGAACATTTGCAGTCATTATTTTATTCGGAAACATATGAGATAAAATCTATAATCTGCACCATAAGTTTCTTCCAACTAATAATACACATTTTTTTTTTTTTTTTTTCTGGTTTATTCACGCAGAGAACTCAACAAAATTAATCCAAGCTCTTACGTGGCACCGCTCCATTCCATCAAAGCCTTCTTCATGTAAGAGTCTTGTAGCATCTAGTTCGAAAAGTACTTCGGCATGGACTGAATGTAGGAACTATCTCTTTGAGGATTATGGAGGAATGGATTCAGGAAGTCATTCCCTCACGCTTGAAAGGCTATATGCTTGGGAGAAGAAGCTCTATGAAGAGGTTAAGGTAAGTTCAACTATAGTACAAAAATCTAGCATCAGATATCCGTTTCTTTACCTTGTTTACAAATTTATATTATCGACAGAGAAGTTAGTCTATATGCAAAAGGTTAGACAACTCACTACCACTTACTGGGTTAGCTGAGAACGATCGAATCATTTGCATTGAGTCTTTGACATCCACTAGAACTTGTAATTAGGCTGGAGACAGCACGAGGAAGATTTATCAAAGAAAATGTTTGCGGCTGAGGAACCAGGATGTTGAAGGATATGATGAAGTCAATGTAAACAAAACCAGAGCAGCAGTAAAAGAATTGTATGCCCGGACTTTAGTTGCTATTCGAAGTGCTGAATCAATCTCAAAGAGAATTCAAAAATTAAGAGATGAAGAACTGCAACCTCAAATTGTTGAACTGCTAAAGGGGTATGCAAATCTTTTCTAGAACCATGTAATCTCACCTTTTACTTCTTCATCTAGGTTCCATTGGGGTTTTTATTCCCCTTTTCTTGTGCAGCCTAACAAGAACCTGGAAAATTATGCTGGAATCGCATGAAACACAGAATAAGATCCTCTTTGAAGTGAAGTCTTTTGCCTGCCCAACATCTGGCAAGTTCTGCAATGATTCTCATCGACTTGCTACTCTCCAGCTTGAGGCTGAACTTCGAAATTGGTGTGAATGCTTTGATGAATATGTTGCTGTACAAAAAGCATATGTTGAAGCTCTCTATGGTTGGCTAACCAAGTTCCTGGTACCAGACATGGAATTCTACCCGAGAGGGAGGAGTTCGTCAGTGCCATTCAAAGTTAACGGTCCCAAGTTGCTTGTGATTTGCCATGATTGGTTAGCTTCCATGGATATGTTACCGGATAGAGGAGTAGCCTTTGCCCTGCAAAGCTTTTCAAAGGATGTGAGGGCATTATGGCATCACCAAGGGAAGGAACAACAGCAGAAGAGGAAAGTTGATGGTCTAGCTAAGGAACTCAACAGGAGGACTCTAGCATTTCAAAAGGCAGAAACCAGGTTTCTAGAGTCCAAGCTTATGGAGCAGAAATCTGAGTTGGAGATGGAAAACCGGAATGAATACTTGACAGAGAAGAAGACTCAGTTGGATATCTTCAGAAAGAAGATGGAGATAGAAAAAGAGAAGCACCACAATTACATGCAAGAAACACAGAGAATCACTTTAAATGGATTTCAGACTGGATTTTCTAATGTATTTGAGTCATTGACAGGATTCTCTAAAGCCTCATTGAAGATGTATAAAGACCTCATGATATACAGTGAGAATGCTGAAAAGGCTGGGAACCAAACCTATATTGAGGACTCCCAAGTTGACGACAAGGCCAAGAGATAACATGGCATTCACTACAGTTTTAGATCGTGAATTCATGGGTTCTGTAATGGGTTTGTATATTGTATGTAGTGTCAAAGCAGCTCGCGGAGACAAGTTTGTTTATTTACATCAGTATTCTTCACTGGGTTTCCACTTTGTTGAGTTGATAATTGTTCAATAGATATGTAATGGCTTGCACATATGTTGTTGCAAAACCTGTAAATTTTCAACTTCTACTTAGACATCAAGGGACTCAGGAAGTGGAGATTTAGCACTGAAACTCCTTAACCATAATTGCGGAAGTGAATGAATACCCTTGTGAGCTAAGGCATTTGCCTCGGTCGAAATAGCACTGCTTTCTACAAAAAAGCAACAGATTCCCAGAAACATGCCAACACTCATCTTCCTTTTAGAGATATGCCACATCTAGGCAAAAACTCATCTTTGCTTTTCTTTTTCAACAGTAAATGGGCAAAATTAGTGTCCTATGAGGAAAATATCAAGTTACTACCATAATCTGTGATTTCTTCACCAATTATTCTCTTTTATAACGGGATTTAATGGTAAACTGTAAATAGAAGAAAAGCTACAGCAATTCACAATAATCAATCTCAAAATAGAACATCAGATTCATCCCTCTTCCCACCAAGGCTTCAAAATTTAACAATATTATAATGCGATGAAGTTTGGAGTACGGAGATCAGCAGGCGTATGTGACTAGTGAGCAGCACCTTAATAATAAAGACTTTTTTTGGCAACTAAAAGTTTATGTTTTACTAATTATCTACATCAATTGTGAATCCCAATTTAAGAATACAATGGACTCCCCTCAGACTTCCTAATATACTGAACATGCAAGTACACATTAAGAAAAGGCCGAACACAAGGCAAGCTCAATTCAAAAGATTGGGATATAAGAGAAGGGCAGTTCTCAGCAATATAATTGAAGCTCGAGCTGCTCAACAATCCACAATTTCACAAGTCCTAGATATTAAGACAGACGAAAATGTTAAGCAAACTAGAAGGAAATTACAATTGGAGTCCATCTAATCAGAAAAGAAGTAGACGGTCAATTAAGTCCTTAGATAATTCTTAAAGAAGTCAAGTGGCACTACATTCTATTTATAGTTTTGTACAATGCCATGATACACATCCTAAAAAGCTGGGTTATGATCATGCAAATGAATAATTACAGGTTACTATTCAAATTATAATCAGAAATACCTTTTAACCTATCTTAGGTATAGCGAGACCAAGAATTGGGAGAAGAGTATAAATTCGCTAACCACGGTAGTAGGAGAGTGTATGCCTAGAAATGGAACAATGTCCACTTGCAACCAGCTCTCAACGGCTGATCCCACAACAGCGCCAGCCACAAGCCCACCTATGCTTATTACAGTAGCTTTCCCTGCAAATATGGGTTAGCCAATCACTTCAGATGCAACTGCCCTTCAAAAGAAATTGAAAATCTATAAGACTCCCTGTCCAGTACTATCTTTGCAAAAATGTTATCTATCACATGAATCTTTGCAAAGAGGAGACAAATTGTCTTTCCTGAATCCTTCCCTTTACTAGATAAAAATCGACAAACAAGTAAGATGGCCAGAAACAAAGTTATCCTCTAGGAAGGCTCAAGCTGCATGGATTTCCATAATGTGTTGATTTTTTTCTTTCTTAAAAAGATTTTGAATTTTCACTTCATCAGCAACTTAAGAGATTCAAGAATGAACCCTGACCTAATATGAGAGGTTAGAAAAATGACAGCTGCCTAGGCAAAGTTATAATATTTCCTTTTCTTCTGACAAATCTTCTAATTTAGAGAAGCATTTATATGCATAGAAAGCTGATTACCTAGCTTCACATTCTTTTTGGTCATGAAGTACAAAGAAGCTCCAAAACTACTTGCTAAGATCAATCCAGGAACATCAGCCCCGCCATAAGCTGCCCCAGGAGATGCAGCTCCATTGACATATGTCAAAACCATCATTGCTCCATATGCACCTGCTTGCATTCCCAGATCACCAGTTGATGGAGTTTCAATTGAAATAGGTGAATTTTTGAAAGTTGTCCGCATCCACTGAGGCATTGATGTCGTCCCAGAAGCAGTCATAGGTTTAACATCTGCATAGCGAATGTTGCTACTCACAACTTTGCCAGCCCGGCGCTGGGTTAAACTCCGCATAAGCAACATATCATATGCAGCTTCAACCTAAACATTAACCAAAATAAAGATAAGAAGAAGAGAAATACTCAAAAATTTATTAGTCTAATAGTAGTAACTTTTTCACAGGTTAAACCACACAATTCAATCTCAACCATGGAAAACCACCCCAGGACTGCTGAATCTTTTGACCTAAGGGCAACTCATACAGGTAAACCACCTAAAACATAGCAAAAGTTTACTTCAAAGATGAAGTATTGATGGGAGGCTATCAATACCCTTCATTAAAACAAGAAATTTGAACAATTTTTCAGCATGTTACAGAACACTGAACTGTGGGTCTGTAGTATGTTCATAACTACAGAGTACAGAATGAGTTCTAAATTTAAAATGAAAAAGAAGTCTGTGGCCAAAACTTAAACAATGGGCAGGCAGGGCAAAGGGCACATAAAACACTCAACAAAAGGAGCAAAAAAGATTAAGGAAATGAGACATTCCAGAGTTCACATTGCCAAGAAGAATGCGTCATATAGAGCCTACCAATTTCCACTCGCAGAATTTCGAAGGGTCAAACCAAAAGAAACCTGGCCTTTTTAGCGGCTTCATTAGAAATCTTTTGCTTCTTAGCGCAAGCAAAATTAAAAAAAAAAACATAACCAACATTCAGATTTGCACCGCCAATTGCCAAAACAAGGTAACCAAGGAAACAGTGAAAGAATTCGTAGCAAAGCCCAACTTATGTACACTCAAAATCCATGTAAGTAAAATAATTTATAACTCGACCACAAAAGTACAGCAAAGGAATTAACAGTAAGAAAAATAGAGGACGGAACTCTCACTAACAGCGAGAGAAATAATTAAATGAGAACAGACAAAGTGTCAAAATTAAACAAAAATCAGTTATTTAACTGAGTTAAGTAGATAGCCAGAAGCAAAATCTGGCATTTTTACTGCCAAAACCTCAAAATCAACAGGCTTTAAGACCTCCGACTAAAAAAGAAACTGCAATTACAAGAAGAACCCTCCCAAAAAGGAAACTTCAAATATTTGCTAGCTCAAGAATTTCCAGCCAAAAAAAGAAAGCACATGAAAAAGGATAAAGAAATGAAAGGCATAATTCTCTATCGACGTAATCAATGAAATCACCTGCACAATCATATCCTGATCATCCTTACAGGAAGCGACAATTGCGTTCTTTGCGCGGAGTATGTCATCGAAGGAAGCGCCATCCGAGACTCCGAGGAGCTTGAGCGCGTTCTCCACCGACATCTCGAAGGGCGCAGAGTCGTCTGCTCGGGACCCGGCCCTAGTCACGCTGCCGGCGAGAGAGCGTCGGGAGGGCGTACTCACGGCTCTCCAGGGCTCGGTCCTTTTTGCGGCGGGGTTTGCCGGCATCATTATTGTTGGCTGGACCGGACTGGGGTGACGAACCGGCGGTCGAGGGATCGGCGAACCGGGACTAAGCCTATTGGGCCGGACGGAGAGAGTGGCAGCTGCCATTTTTCGGTGACGAATGTGAGGCTTTGGTTCGTTTTTCCTAGAGTTGTCGTGTGTTTTTCACTGAACAAGAGACAGAGAATGAGTAAGAAACGGTTAGAAGAAAGATCTTATTTTGAGGAAATAGTTGGGTGTGGATGTGGTGTTGCTGATCTTTCCTTTCCTGCCGTTTGATTAACTGACCATGAATTTCTGATCATCATACTTATTTTGACTATTTCATTTAAATATTACTTTTTTAAGTGGATTAAATAAATTTTGGGAATAGACATTTTGGTTTTGTGTGATATTTTAAAATTTTGAAGTCCTTTACTTTTGTGTCGTTTTGTTTGTGTTGTCATTTTGTTGATAATTGATTTAGCAGTTTGAGCTCCATAATCTTCTGTTTCTTCAATTTCAGGCTACAGTTGGATGAAGAATATCTTTCATGGACAAAAACAACATTCTCATGCATCATTTATATAAGAACACCTCCCCCCAAATGATGATATTAAAACATATTTTAATATATAAAATAATATATATTAAAATACATAATATTATATATGTCATATCGAATTTGATTCGATTAATTTTTTATGTTTTAAACTCAAATCTAATCAATTTGATCAAATCAATAAAAAAAGAACCTAGAATAACATTTTGATATCAAAATGTTGAAAAAGACTAAAGCAATTGAGTTTGAATTTTTGGAATCAAAGATTTTTAAATTATAAAAGAATGTTTGATAATGAAGGGATGTAAGTAAAATTTTAATTTGGTATCTAACCCAAAAATATATTTTGAATTTTGTAGCTTTTCTAAACATACAGTAATGTTCTTTCTATTTGTGGTTTGGAAACAAGACACATCTCTCTTGCAGATTGCCACTCAAATCAAGCCAACCAATTTATGTAAGGGCAAATCAAACTGCAGAGAGATTTTAATTAGCAAAAAAGAAGATCAAAAGGGAGGGAAAGAAGAACATGTTGACATGTTGGAGAGTAACACCCACAACTCCACCATTACAACCACCTCGTCTTTCAAAAAGACACGGCTCAAGCTTCTGCTACAGAATTAATGCCCTTCAGAGCCCTGTCAATGGAGAAACTAACAAAACGATTGAGAAGAGAAAGAAGGTTCTCATAGTTGGCTCTGGCTGGTCTGGCCTTGGTGCTGCTCATCACCTTTCTAATCAGGTCCTCTCTTTCTCTCCCTCTCTTTCTCTTCACCATATACAATATATATGGATGCCTGATGTTACTTCACGTATTGTTTCAGGGTTTTGATATCACAGTCCTTGATGGTGGAACTGCTTTTGGTAGACCAGATGATCTGGGTATTCAAGGTAATCAGACAATCCTCCTTTAAGGTTGACTGATCATTTTTTTTTTTTCATAAGAAAAAGATGATTGTATTCGAGTGACAATTGGTTCAGCTAAAGATTGGAACTTTATTGACATTAAAAGTTAGATGAAGATTGGAACTTTATTGACACGAATATCTCTTACCTTTGGTAATAATAGCATGGCCAATCCATATAGAGTCCGAATGCGTTTGTTGGATTTTTTGTCAGAGGCACCAAAAGTTGGCTTAATTTCTTCTTCTGAATTTTATGCATCTAGGTTTCTGGTATCCCTATAAGAATATATTTTCTCTCGTTGATGAGTTGGGAATCAAGCCCTTCACCAATTGGACAAAATCTGCCCAGTATTCAGCTGAAGGACAGGAGGTAGTTAATGTTGATTGGCTTAGCTTAAAGAGATTGTTTTCTGTATCTTGTTATTCAAGCAAAACCTGCGCATTATTTTGATCATGCTACTGTCAGTGGGTTTGCAGATTCAATTTCCAGTTTTCCAAGATCTTCCTCAATTGCCAACTCCTTTGGGAACCTTTTTCTACACTCAAGTATTGCCTTTTTGATGTTTTTGTTAATCTAAACGATGCCTTTATTGAGCTTGATGTACATTAATTTTATCCTCCAATCTGCAGTTTGCTCGGGTCCCATTGGTGGATCGATTGACATCACTTCCTCTAATGGCTGCAGGCAAGTGTCACTAACAATTCATCTTTCTAGAGCTATAGTTTCTTAAGCAATGACAAGCAGTAGATGCTAAAATTTTTCCAGAAAACCAAGTTGAATCTTTTTTCGTCTACCTCACTAACATCTGGACTGTTATAGAAAACACCTCCATTTTTTAACTTAGAAAAGATGCTGAAAGTTTTTCCAGAAGACCAAAGTTGGTTCTTTTGTCATAGTGCACAACTCCATTTTTTATCTTACAGCAATTCATATTATCAAAAATGCATTTTTAAAATCATTCTAAACCTTGCTTGTGACCATTGACCCCTTAGATGTCCCTTTCCAAAGTATAAGTTTTCAACTTAAATTTGTCGTGTGAATTCGTTATATATTACTAATAGTCTAATGTTTGCTTTGTAACCTGAAATCTTGATAAGTTGTTGTTCAAGTTTAACCCAGCTCAATCCCCAATAATACTTCATATTGCTTCTTGTAATTTCAACTTCTAACTCTTCTGGACTTCTGTTGCAGTGGTCGATTTTGATAACACTGACCCAGCCTGGAGAAAATATGATTCAAGTAAAAATCCTGATCTCATTTGCTAAATTGCAGTGTAAAATCATTATTTATAACCTGTTCCAAGAAATCAAAGATAAAGTATTCAAGCTTCTTATTCTGAGGTGCAATCGGTAGGTACTGCAAGGGAGCTATTGAAACAGTTTGGCTGCTCCGAGAGACTTTACCAGGATGTTTTTCAGCCTCTCCTTCAAGTTGGATTGTTTGCTTCACCAGAACAATGTAGCGCTGCTGCAACATTAGGACTGCTGTACTATTTTGTCCTTGCTCACCAGGTCAACTAAAAGCTTCTGTTATTGCAAAATAATTGTGCTTTTTGTTTGCTCTCATTTCATTCTCATCAGAGTAAAAATATTCAGACACAGTTCGCTCTGTGCATTCACAGTATTTTTGTACTTTTTTAATCTACAAATTTCCTTTGAATGGATTTATATAGAAAGATTTCGATCTGCTTTTGTGTCGTGGGACAATTAGAGAAAAAATCTTTGAGCCATGGATGGACTTCATGAAGGTTAAAGGTTGTAACTTCCTGGAACAAAGAAGTGTGACAGATTTCATCGTCAATGAAGAAACAGGTTGCATCACGGAGGTAGTTTGTGGCAATGAGACTTACGATGTTGATGCTGTTGTATTGGCTGTTGGAGTCTCGACAGCTCAGGAAATTATCAAGAATAGGTGCGTTCTTCCACATTTCATTTCACTTTCCAACTTGTGTAGATTATATTTGAAATAAGTTATTCAGTTGAGTTGAGCCTTTAGCTTCTGCAGAATTTCATGACCTATAAATGCTAATTTTCAATTAGAAGGGACTGGTAAATTCCACTTTAACTTAGAGAGCTAAAAAGTAAAATAACAAACATCCTTATCGCTTATCAAACCAGAACACTCCGATAGTAATTTCTATCATGTATGAAATAGCTTTCTGGTCTATGGGTTTTAGGCAAAACTAAATTTTATGTCTGAGGATTCAATTGCATCTAGTGCTGTACTCAACTTTCTTCTTTATCCTATTTAACTGGCAGTTGAGTCCTGTTTAGTGCAGCACTACATGAAAAGGAGGAGTTCCTTAAGGTTCTCAACTTGGCTGGCATTGACATGCTCACTGTAAAGCTGAAGCTTGACAAAAAGGTGCTCGCAGAAAATAAAAATTTATGCTTGGTCATTTACTTTGTTCTTCTTGTTAATGGAGATTGATTCAAAAACTCTAAACTCTAAAGAGACCATAACATCAGTCCTCTTCTTTCTTACCAGCCTAGAGTGTTACATGATACAATTCTGCACCACTTAAAAATGCTTGATTGATGAGCTGATTGATTGATGAAATCCATATGTATTGTATACATATTAACCAGGTTGCCATACCAAATCCAAGCAATATTTGCTCTGGATTTGGTAATTCATATGCATGGACTTTCTTCGACTTGAATGCTATTCATGATAAACACAAGGACAGCCCAGTAACAGTTCTGCAAATTGATTTTGTAAGTATTATGCTTTTCTTGTTTTTAACAATCTAAAAGGAGGAACTTTGATTGCGTTTAATATCTCTATCATGTTCTTTCTGATGATGTCCTTGTATGCAGTATCATGCAAATGAATTGTTGCCTATGACCGATGAGCGTATAATTGCAAAAGTAATGTCTTACCTCTCAAAATGCATCGACAACTTCCAAACTGCTACTGTGATTGACCAGGAAATTGAAAGATTTCCCAGTTCATTGACTCATTTCTTTCCAGGTAGCTTATATTTAACAGTTTTCCATTAATCATATGCATGTAAATTTAGTAGGCTGAAAATGTTCATAAAGCAAAACCTTTTAACATTCATTTCTTGAAAGTTAAGTTAATAGAAAACCTGTTATCCAAAACATTCGAATGTACTCTGAAAGCACCAACCGGAGAGTAATAGCTGAATACTAATGAAATAAGTTATCAAAATGAGAATTCTTGCTACTACTTTGAGTTATGAGCGGTAAAAGTTATGTTCTTTTTGACATTCCTTCTTTATCAAAGGTTCATACAAGTACATGCTGCGAGGATCAACTAGTTTCCCAAATTTGTTGGTTGCTGGAGACTGGATTGTAACTCGGCATGGTTCATGGTCACAGGTCATGTTCGAATCTGTTGTTTACCTTGTTTAAGCTGGGTCATGTTTTCAATTGAACGTAAAGTCTTTGTATATATTTTGTGATTAAACAGGAAAAATCTTATGTTAGTGGACTCGAAGCAGCAAACCGTGTGGTTGACTACCTTGAAGAAGGCAATCTTGCTAAGATAATACCAGTGGAGGAAGATGAGCCTCATATCCAAGCTCTTCGCATCCTCAACAGACGCTTTAATGACATCAAAACCCAGATTCCCCTCTCTGATTTTTTTCTCCAATGAAATTTTGGATTGTGTTATTTGTACTCTTCTACCATTTTTCTAGTAACTATAAATGTAAATAAAAAATAAAAGATACAATCTTTATTTTGGTTCTTAATATCTCCTTTGATACCGAAAAATTTTAGAAAATAATTGTAGTTAATATTATTTTTTTTTAAATTCAAATTTTGGATAGGTGTTTTTAAAAATAAAAATAAATAAAAATTTAAATTTAATTATTACGAATATATTCGGTCTGATTGGATCGAATTAATATTTTTTATTCGTATTATATAAAACTAGTCCATATTTGAGTCATTTCTTGAATTAGAAGATGATTTACTCTTTTTATTTTTATTGTTAATTTGTTTTTTTTTCCAGTATTTTATTAATTTTTAAAATAAAAAATATTTTTAAAAAATTAAAATATTTATTTAATTTTAATGTATTTCAATTTAGTGTAAGATTTTCAAGATGACTTAAGGTGGATGAGGATTTAATAGATTATTTTTATTTTTTCAAATTTCCCTTTTTAGCTTTTATTTTGTATTAAAATTTATCAAAATATAATGTTCTTGTTTGCATATTTTCTTTTCATAATTATATGTGTACGATTCCATTAAATTTATTTGAAGTAATAATTTTAGGATTTAACTACGTACAGACAATACCAAACAATGGAAGAAAAATATCATCTGAAATTTAATAGTTTCCAAAAGTTATCAGATTTTTTTTTCTATTTAAGTACAAGGAGAATTTTTATTTATTATTAAAAATAATTTTTTTCTCTTAAACTATTTAAGAGTCAATATATATATATATAAATAAAATAAAATTTTAACTATTTAATATTTTAAGAATACATAGAATAGCATATTTAAAAGTAAAGTTATAATTTTTTAATACAACCTCAAAAAAAAATCCAGCTGTCCATAATAGCCACGTCATCTCTGGTTGTTCGTTGTTCTCGTGCGGAACCGCCCAGCAGATCCAAGCCTCACCTATCTAACTCCACGGTTATCCCGCACGCACAAGTTTCCTTGCTGTCCGGGTGTTATTTACCGTTATTACCATCAATCGATATCTCAAATTATTTATTTTTCATTTTCAGGTTTCACGATTAGATCTCGTTTTGTTCCCTCCCTCAGCCCATCTCTCTGTATCTGCTTCTGCTTCTTCCCTGAGTCCTCAGATCAACAGGTGAGGTCCTTTTCAAATCCATTTCTCATCTTTTTCTCACTTATTTTAATTTCTTTCTTTGATTAAATTTTATAATTACGATTTGCACCAATCGAATCCCAACCTCATTTGATCCGACTGTTAATCGATTATCTCGGCTCTTACAACATTTGTTAATAATCGACTTCTTGTCTGTTATTGAATTTTTTCTCGATCCTTTCCATTAGCAGTGAAGATTTTCAGTTTGATTGTAGCTTTTAGTGAAATGAAGCTGAAAGCGACCTTTTTCATGCATTGATGCTGGTTGGTTGCTGGGAAGATGTTCACCTATAGTATAACGGCATAACTTCTTGGGTTAGATATGCAGGATAGCTGCGAATTCCAGTTTTTAGAATGAGTCTAAATCAGAATTTAGTCTAGTGGAAGTTAATTAGAATTGACAACTGTGTCAGTCCTTGAATCTTCTAAACACCAATTAGCGACTATTTATGTTTACTATTGTTTAGGGCTTCACAACTCTCAGTGTCTTGGGTTTGATTGGGAGAATTGTTTTATGAGAATTTTTAATCTTGAATTCAGTTATCAATATTGGATTAGTTGCATTATATTTTCCTGCTAAGTGGCTGATTATTGCTGATCGGAATGCTGGGAAATAAAATGCATTTTGTTTTTCAAACATGCACCATGCACTTATTTGTTTGCTTGGTATATGAAGCTTGAGAATGGGTGTGGCCAAAAACAATCTCGATATGGAAGAGGGAACGCTGGAGATTGGCATGGGTAAGTTGTAGGTGGCACTTGCCTCTTAATTGTAGTTTCTAATTTTATTTGGTGCAGATGAAATTCATGTCATTCTTCAGAACTTAGGAACAAACCTTTTTTTCTCTGATGAGAATTGATGTTTGAGTTCAGCAACATGGATATTGATAATTTTCTTCCTAAAGCAAGAGAGTAACCATTGTTTGAAGTATTGATGAGGGTCTGTGCTCTTTTGTTTTCATGGTACCTTGCAGAGTATAGAACTGTCTCTGGAGTGGCAGGACCTCTGGTTATTCTTGATAAAGTTAAGGTATATTTTGCTCCTTCTACATGCCATATCTATTGTTATCTTATGCTTAATCTTGACAATCCCTCTCAAAAATGTTTATGATTCATGTGTTTTTCTGATATTCTACATTAGGGACCCAAATATCAAGAAATTGTCAATATTCGTTTAGGGGATGGAACAACTCGACGTGGTCAAGTCCTTGAAGTCGATGGAGAGAAGGCTGTTGTTCAGGTGATTGCTATTCAAATATTCTCTCAGTTCATAATTTTAAGCCTTCCTTTAGTCTAATTCAAATACTCATGTAGTTTCATGAGAAATTGGTTGATATACTTTAGTATTTTAATTGTAGTCCCATATGCCTTTTATCCCCTATTTTGGGAATAGACAACGCTTCCTGTTAATATATTATGTTTACGTTATTTGAAAATTATGATAGCCTACTCTTGACATTAATTGTTTGGAGTATTATTAACGGTAATGATGCATGCTTTGTTCATTTGATATCTGGTTGGCCAGGTTTTTGAAGGGACATCTGGAATTGACAACAAATACACAACCGTGCAATTTACAGGAGAGGTATAAATCCTTTCTTCTTATCCCTTACCATATACCATTTGACGTGCTTTTTTCAGTTTTCAATGTTATTGCTTTTGAGCAGCATTGCTTTAGTTAAATCTCGAGGGGAAAAAAAATTGTTTATCTCATCATTGCTTTTGTTCATATATTATACATGTTTCATTATGTTTCCAAGATTCTTGCCATTTATCTGAACCCCTAAAATTTTCACTTCTATAGGTTTTGAAGACCCCAGTCTCACTGGATATGCTTGGTCGCATTTTCAATGGATCTGGGAAGCCCATTGATAATGGTCCTCCAATTTTGCCTGAAGCGTACTTGGATATTTCTGGTCAGTGATGTTATTCTTTTCTTGAATGAATTGTTATTCATGAAAGATTTGGTGTTTTCGTGGAGCAAATGATATTTTAAATATCAATAAAATATTCAGTTTTATGCTTTTTGTAACACGGGCTTTAGATTATTTTTCATACTTTCTGCAGGGAGTTCTATCAATCCTAGTGAGAGAACCTACCCTGAAGAGATGATACAGACAGGGATTTCAACTATTGATGTAATGAATTCTATTGCTAGGGGACAAAAGATCCCACTTTTCTCAGCTGCTGGTCTTCCCCACAATGAGATTGCTGCTCAGATTTGTCGCCAAGCTGGTTTAGTTAAACGGTTAGAGAAGTCTGGGAATCTGCTTGAGGTACTTTTTATTTCCTGATATATATTAATAATATCAACTTCCAAACTATCCAATATGCTTACTGCATGGTTTCTTTTTATATATTTTTAATGCTTAGAAGATATTATATCTGGTGCATTTGAATTAATTTTGGACAAGTTAGTGATAGAACCAAATTTGAATTAGTATATTTATAATCTTTTGTCCTTATGTCCAACTTTTCTGTTAGCACAAATACATTTCCGGTCTTTAAAATTAATAATAGCCAGATAACCTATTTACTTCAGTTCCTTTGTACTCGGAAAATTTTGTTTTTAGTATATTTAAATTCTTTTTGGAGGAATTACTAATGGAGCCCAACTATTGGTTTAGGTTGCACTTCTTTCAAACAACTTATTATTTTTATCAGTATATTTATCATCTTTCATGCTTATGTCTTACTTGTCTGTTGGTAAAAATACATCTGTGATCTTTAAAATTAACAATAGCTTGATATCCTATTGTTTGAGTTTTTTTACGAGTAATTTGGTCTATGCAATACTTAGTTAATGTGTTACATCATGTTGTTTGCTACATTCTCTTCATTGGTTTCTGTTAAAAAAATCTATAATATGGAAAATCATTTAGTGCCATCTGTCACGGTGATAGATATGCTACCACCAATTTCATGCCAAGGTAAGTATTTGACATACTCCAGATTTTCAGGATGAGGAAGAGGACAATTTCGCCATTGTATTTGCAGCCATGGGTGTAAATATGGAAACTGCACAGTTTTTCAAACGTGATTTTGAGGAAAATGGATCAATGGAGAGAGTGACACTTTTCCTCAACCTAGTATGTATTTTCTTCAAAATGTTAATCTTTTGTGATGCACAGCTTTAATTTATGTTGAAAGGGATTTGCCCTTGACTTTTAAGTGATGAAGTTCCTGAAACTTGTCTATGCCAATCTTACAGGCAAATGACCCTACAATTGAACGTATTATCACTCCTCGTATTGCTCTTACTACAGCAGAATATTTAGCATATGAATGTGGCAAGCACGTCCTTGTTATACTTACAGATATGAGTTCTTATGCTGATGCTCTTCGTGAGGTAATCACTGACATCTATGTTTTATTGTTTTTGCTGCCTCCTTTAAGGAGTGCCTTATAACATGCTTACAGATGAAGCTTTAACAATATTCCTCTTTCAGAAGTGGATTTAATTAAGATGATTTGACCAAAACATTGATTTGTGAGTGGAAAAAAGGATCAAGATATCTTGTTCTTCAGTTGCGATAAATCAAATAATACAAACAGCAACTCTCTAAAGTGTTTGTCTTATGTTGATTGTAGTTCTTCCTAGATATTGAAGATATTTGAAGAACTACCTAAGGGTTCTAGGATGTTGTTTTTATGCCTTCTTTTCTGAATACTTCATTAGATACTTTGTAAAGGCTATATATGATGCCAAACTTCATGCAGGTATCTGCCGCGCGAGAAGAAGTACCTGGAAGACGTGGATATCCAGGGTACATGTACACTGATTTGGCTACTATATATGAGCGTGCCGGACGAATTGAAGGACGAAAAGGTTCCATCACACAGATTCCAATTCTGACCATGCCTAACGATGGTAATACAGCTCAAAGCCATGTTGAGTGCTCTGCATCATTCACCAATGTGTTGATTTTACAGTGTCTGAACTATTTCTCTTTGTTTGGCCAGATATTACACATCCCACTCCAGATCTTACAGGATATATCACAGAGGGGCAGATATATATTGACAGGCAGCTCCACAATAGACAGGTAAATGCTTCCAATGGCTCTTAATAGAATGTACAAGTCAATTGTCTGCTTTTATGATAGAATGGATTTGAAGTTGACCTCTCTACAACTGATTCATGGCGTACATAGCAATCTATTATCCACATAGACTATTGTATGCAATGCTGGTCATAGAATTGCGATGTAAGGGCATGTTATGGACAAAGGAAGTTGACTTGTAGCAATGCATTTATTTGCCAGTTATAGTTTTTCTCATCTGTCCTTGATTGCTTTGTTGAACAGCTTCGTTTTGATTAGTTAAGGTTCCTATCCATAATTTTCTTCCATAAATGCATATAACTATAGACTAATATAAAAGAAATATCGGTTGAATGTTGAATTGGAATCTATTCATCTGGTGCTTAAGTTTGATCTGCATCTCTTTCAAGTAACCTGGCAATTGGCATGAAAATGATTCAACGTGTGGAGCTTCTCAGTTTAAAAAAAAGATGGAAACTTGCAGAAATTTATTTGATGCTGAAACTGAATGTTGGCCTATCTGAGTTTGCAGATATACCCACCAATAAATGTCCTACCTTCTCTGTCTCGTCTGATGAAGGTATGAACGTAGCTCATTTCCTTGGAGTTTTGGTTTTCTAATGAGTTGCATCCAATCAGTTGAGGAGAAGTGAGCATGTAAATTGTAGTAATTCTGAATGCAAATACTGTAAAATTCTTGCAGAGTGCTATTGGTGAAGGGATGACTCGCAGGGACCATGCTGATGTGTCCAACCAGGTGCCACTTAATTATTTATGTAGCTTAAATTTGTTTTTGTTTCACTTGAAGGCTGAATATGTAGCTTAAGTTTTAAACCTTTTCAGTTGTATGCAAATTATGCCATTGGCAAGGATGTCCAGGCAATGAAAGCTGTGGTTGGGGAAGAAGCACTCTCTTCTGAGGACTTGGTCTCTCTCTCTCTCTCTCTCTCTCTCTCTCTCTCTCTCTCTCTCTCTCTATCCATCTCTCTCTAGTTATCTCTCTTACTCACACTCAGAAATACCAATTGTCTGTATAAAACAAGTCTGTATATACTTATGTATCTATTTGTGTCCATAGTTATTCTTTTATAATTGATGAGGTTCTTCTTGAACGGAACAGCTGTACTTGGAGTTTTTGGATAAATTTGAGAGGAAATTTGTGACCCAAGGAGCTTATGACACACGGAACATCTTCCAGTCACTTGATTTAGCATGGACACTGCTTCGCATCTTCCCTCGCGAACTTCTTCACCGTATACCAGCAAAGACTCTCGACCAGTACTACAGTCGAGATGCAACAAATTGATGAAAGAAACCAGCTCAGCTACCCGTCCTCATTGGTTGTCTCCACCTTATTCATTTTGCGTGCTATTTTAGTAGGCTGGGCCTGCTCTCCCTGCATAGAAATAAAGGCTGTAATCCCAAGTTGAGTTCCTCTCTTTCAGAGCTTTTGTCCAATTGAGATACATTAATGTTCTTTCCGTGAATACTTCTTAGAGCTCATTGTTTATGCACTTGGATACATATTAGCATGTTTATTTAGTTAATTTGGATTAAGATTTTCTTCCCTGAATTGAAATCAGGGCTCGTGTAAGAATTAACACCTTGTTTGATATTTTTTAACCATTTTACAAAATGAGGTACTACCTCTCTCTGTCAGCTCTTAGATTTTTGATGTCAAATCCTGGTAGTTCATTCGATAAACATACTACTTGCTGGTTTCCTATTCCACAGCTCTTCTCCTCTCCCAGGTTGGTTGACAGTTAAAAGGGGTGGACTAATATTGAGAAGAAAACACCAAACTTGAAGCATTGTTGCTTTGTCACATTTTACTTAGCCTCTTACAGTTTTTTGGAGTGATATTGGGCAAGTTTGTTTAACTGGAGAAATGGAGGAGAGCAGAGGCAAACATCAAATGCCGTACCCAGAAGTGATATTGTGAGGTTTCTGGTAGAGGTAAGCATTTGTTGGGTACTATTTTGACTTTATCACAATATGACTGTTTAGATATATATTTGATCTTTTTGTTGTGTCAATATTTAAGAAATAAAGAAGCTATAACTGTGATTAATTAACTCTGAGAGACCAACCGAGTTCTTGAAAGTATTAGGGTAATCATAACTAAGGATATAAATTCTTTTAGTTATTTGAAATGGAATTCGACTGCATAGAGTTTGTTTAATTTGGTTCGATTTTATTTGATTTTTGACAAATTTAGTTTTGGTTTTTGTTTTATTTTTTATTTGATTTGATTTTTGCATCAATTTATATCTTTCTAACTCTCTGTTGTTTAAGTATATTTAAGAAATATGTTAACAAGTTGAATTAACTTAAAAGTTTGACTTTTCAAATAATATTAAACTTGAATTCGACTTTACACTCTATTACATTTATTTTAGATTCAAACTTGTTTTAAAATATAAAGTTTGACCTCGATTTTTTTTTTTTTAAATAGAATTAAACTCAAATGAACTTAAATTTTTATGTACTCAAATTCAAGTTAGTTCAAATTATGTAAAAGTGATCGCAATAAGCTCTATGAAAGCCTAGTTTAACATGGTAACTACCAACTTTTGTTTAAAATTTTTTAAAAATATATTATTATATAATTAAAATATAATTATTTGTAAAATAAATTGAAAATAATAAGAATAAATAAGAACTAAATAATTTCAATTTGAATTCAGTTTCTTTGGTTAAATACGTTTTATTTTTCAAAATTAAATTCAGGTTTGATTTTAAGTTTGCTCCAAACTTATTACAAAGTTTTGTTAATGTCAATATATACTAGGAATGGCAGTCTTGTGGGTTTAGAACGAATTTTATTAAATCCAAACCTAATTCAATTATTATCATATTAATATTAATATAACTATATTTTATATTAATAAAAAATAAAAAATATATTTATTAATGTAATACCCGAATCTGAAAATTTAGTTCAGAAAAATTTAACATTAATAATATAGTGCATTAAAGTAATTTAACTTGTCTTTTTATTTAATAATTATGAAAATTTTGAGAAAAATAGATTTAGAGATGAAATTGAAAATAATTTTTTTAAAAAATAGGTGAAATTGTGAATAAGAGTATAGTGTTTTTTAAAGAAAAATTTAAAATAGAGGATAAAATCGTAAAAAAGAAAAATACAATCACGTGGGATAGCCATGTCAGCAACAATGACGAGTCAAAACGCGTCGCGTGGCGAACACACTGACATCAATTCCACATGGGAGGCCACGTGAACAATCCACGTACTAGCGAATCCAACGGTCTAGATAGCATCTCGCGCACACGAACGACTTAGATGTATTTTCTCTTCAGGCGTGATTGAACAGTCATATTCAATCCGATCGTGTGGCCCAAATTTATTCTCCGAATAAGAGAGATCCAAAGGACAGGAGAAGGTCACATGTCCCTGCACGGATGGCCCAAATTGACTCGGAGAGGGTATTTGAACTTCGCGTTCTAGGAAACTCTAACTTTAGCCGCACCAGTCCTCATTAGAGAAGAAGAAGAAGGGCGACAAAAAAGAAACTGACTGTCATTGCCGCTGTACCAGAGCCACTGCCAATGCCCAAAAGGTATTTTTTTCCCCTACTCGTACGGAATTCGATTCTAAATCTACCCACACCCATATTGGAGTCGAAAGGCTAATGGGTGAGTCCAAAAACACGAGCGAAGCTCAGCCGAGCTGCCGCGGTCGAAATCCAAAACCTCTTCCAATGAGCCCCTTTCCGTTTCTTGTTTCTCTCGATTTTCTGACCATTATGTTCCTCGTCTCTTTTATGTGCAGGTTAGTCGAAGGAGAACCCCGACCACGAAGGAGGAACGACGAAACCGCTGCACCTAGATACTCTTTCATTGGTAGGGTTTTGGTTTTCGCATTTTTCGACCAACAGAGGCCCCCTAACTTGTTTTTTGCATGTTTCTATGCAAAACTGGCCAAAACCCAGCCTAAGCCAGCCGAAAACAGCCTGACCGAGAGGAATCGCCACCGTAGGCGGGAGATCTGGCACCAGAACACGGTAGTGCCACCATGCCGGAACCCTAAATTGACTATAAAAGTTTAAAAACAACTATTTTAGCCTTTTTGAGTATTTTTGGATACGTGGCAGATATTTTGAATTTCCACAGAAAAAATCTAGGAAACACGAGGACCACCAGGAGGCGTAGTGAAAAGTACAATATTTCGAATATCGATTTAAGGTAAGAATCTCTCATCTTTCTCCCCATTATGATAAATTAAAGCTTCATAATCGATAACATTGTGTTTTGTGAAAATTTAAAAAAAAAAACCATAAAATTAATTACAGGTCACTAGTGGAACCAGAACTGATCAGTATATAACTGCCCTAACTCATTTGTGTTGCCTATTTATTCACTTATACTGCCTAAATTACTTATTGTTACACCGTGTACTTTAAATTGTAAATTTTAATTGTTTTCTCGTTTATTGATTGTCTAACCGTTATTTTTATCTGTTGACTAATTTGAAATAAATACTCTAATTACATTTCTTGATGGTTAAAGTATAAATTTGTATTCTTTACTTAAATGTCATTTTATTGATCTATGAATATGAAATGAGATCTTGGTATGCGATTGGTGATCAGTTGATGATGTGAATCTATATATGAACAGCTTATTAGGTACCCTGGGAAAGGGTGGATGGACCAGGAACATAGGAAAACTCTACCGTAAATATTATCTCAGTCGAACAGGACCAAGAAATCTTATACCGGAAGGGGTTGGGAGGTATAGTTCACTCTCATACCGAATGGAGTATTGAGACAGTGGCATGTTTGGCACTCATTACCGGACGAGGTATAATGACGGTCGGTTGATTAATAAATTGGATATTGGGTTTACATGTAGGAGAATATCCCTATAGACCCCTAAACGTACTAATAAGCAAGTAAGAAGGTAAATTTATTGTTATTGTTCATTTAAATATGAAATTAAAATAGTATTTATGTTATTGTTTTTGTAGTTCGATTTTGGAAACTCATAAAGATAAGTATGAAATTTACGTTTTTATATATATAACAAATATAGTTCAAAAAGACAAATGACTCCATTGGTTGTCTTATGATTTTTACCAACTTTTCATTTTTTATATCGGTATTAAGTGTGATATTTTTACTGGGGTAGTGTACCTTATTCTCCTATTTTAAAAATTTCAAATTAAGAAAACCAAGATCTAAATCCTGAATAACAGGAGAGTTGTAAATAAAGATTACCTCCCGGACCCCATCAGAATTGCCTAGCAGAGGTTAACGTCATAGAATTTTTATTTTATTTTATTTTAACTATTTGTTCTGTTACTATGAACTTTTATAAAATGATATTCTCGTATCCCTATTGGGCATTCTGATTTCCTTTTTAAGGAATGTAAACCTTAAATTCTAAATTGCTTTCGCTTATAATTGATATAATTCAATATTTTCATTTCCTTAAGCTTTGGGCTTTTACAGTTGGTATTAGAGCCATGTTCCTTAGAATTATTCTTTACATAGAGATTTAAAATACTAAAATACAATCCGATATTCAACCCTTTCTTGTGAAATGCAAGTACAAAGATATAAGGAGAGGAAGACCTCCACTAAACCGAACAGCTTGGGATGGGTCGCTTCAAGAGGATACTGATCGACCTTTCGAGATGTTGGAGAGACTTATCTCTGCCCAGTAAACCTAGAAAAATAAGAGAGAGCTATCTGAACCTTCTCCACTATCACAATATGAGCCACCCTTACAACGAGAAGATCCAGTGCCACCCCAATATAGTCTTACTCCTCAACTATATCATCTGGTACTGCTACAGTATAATCTGATGCCCCCATCATATAATCAGGTGTCGCTAAAGGGTCACCCGGTCCCTCCCCAGCATAATTCAGTCCCTTTTCAACGGGACCCAGTTCTACCCATGATGGACCCATACTACATTGAGAGTTACGAGAGACTAAACTCATTTATCTTAACAATGGCATTCTCTTTCAAAGAGGTTGAATATTGGTTAGTCGAGATAGAGAAAGCTTTCGCAACTCTTGGGGTGGTTCTCAAACAAAAGGTTGTACTTGTCACCTACATGCTTGTAGGTGATGCAGGTCACTAGTGGCAGCTGAAGTAGGCCACTCTGCTCATTCCAGTCACTTAGAAATAGTTCCTGGTAGCCTTCAATGCAGAGTATCTCCAAGAGTATCTTTGACATTTAAAAAAAATAAAGTTTGTACACCTGATCCAAGGTGAGATGACAGTGTTTGAGTATGGCAGAAAATTCCTAGAATTAGGTCGATATTCTCCTGAGAGTATGATAGATAAAGGCAGAAAGGTAAGGAAGTTTGAGTGGGGTCTCCATCTTGAGATCAGACAACAACTGTATGTATTTGAGCTCAGCACCTACTCAGCAGTTCTGGCCAGGGCACAATTAATAAAGAGGAACCTTCGCATTTTTCCTCCAGCAGTGGAAAATTTCAGAATCCCGATTCCACACTGCAAGCCAGCACCTACTGCACCGACTCAACAGAACAAGAAACCTAGGCCTATGATTCAAGCTTCTACTCAGGCTCCACCAACATGACGTGGTAGGACTTGCCATCACTGTGGCAAGGATCATGGAGATTGACCATACTATCGCCTCAACAATATCTATCACATAT